CTGTGAAACACACAAACCTAAAAAGCAGGGGATCTCTACCTTCGCCCAAGCCACTGATTGAACTGTTGAACATCAAGTAGGGTTATGCTCTTCATGTCCTCTCCCACGGCTCATGTTAACCTGCTAATGAGCTCTTTTAGGGTAAATGGTTATTTGGGCAACTTAGAACCCATGTAACTATTTTATCATCCAGCACCCATGACCCCAACTGGTCTGAAAAAGACCCCAACTTATCCACAGAAGATCCCGTTGAAGGCCATACTGAAATCCAGACCCTCTGCTCATGAGGACATTATGAGACAACTCGTCTAATCACCATATTCCAAAAAACAGCCCTTAGCCTTAAGTTGTTACCATATCGACCAGGATGCAACAGACGCTGTTGTGTTAGCAAGTAAGTAGGAAATCTCCATGGCTTATCATGTACTTTAATCTTCACACATGTGAATCCAATATGGGTCAAACAGTTTTCCTCCATCTTGTTATTTTGCCACCTGAAACGGTGGTCTCTGAGGCTGCCATAGCAGAAAGGGGGCCGTTGGAGCGATGCCTGTTCTTGCCCCCGCTCACCATTCATTAACAGGATCATGTAGCTCCAAACTGACTCCAAGGACACCTGTGTGAAGGGTTGGGGAGAAAATCACTACCTGGGAGCACAAACCACTTCTGCCATAGCTGGGTAGGTTTCTGCATGTGATCCCATGATCATATTTTCCCTCTTGTGTGCTTGGAAACCTGATCATCCACTCAGGATTTCTAGAACCCTCCACACGGAAGTATCTGGACAGATTTCATTAGTATCAACCACTAGAGTCATAAATACCAGTACAATAACCTAGATGTTCCGAAATACTGCTTAAGAAGTCCCTTTCATGTAGCTGGAAAAAAAAATCTAATCCTCTGGCCACTGCTGGATAAGAACTCCCAGTTCTGAACAGCATGCTTGACTAAGTCTGATTAATGAATTTCTGAAGTTATTTTTGTTGATCCTCCCACCCTTGACGCCATAATTTGCCTGTGGCAACATGTGTGTAGATTAATGAGGCTTTCAGCAGCCAGTGGAAAAGTGTTCATTAACTTAATTATCCACACCTTCCAATTGAGGGCAACTCAGGGCTGTCAGGACACAGCAGAGCATCTGTGCTGAGGAAGAGCACCCGCTCCGTGCTCCCCAACCAGGACAATCTTCCTTGCAGAGGCAAGGAGAGGAACAGGGGAAATAAGTGGATGCACAGGCAACAAAATGACAAGATTCAGTGTAATTACCCAATGGCGTGCTGAATGTGCATGCATTCATTAAGCACCTAGTATGGGTAAACCTGAATAAGCAGGTACCTCCTATGCTTCTAGCCTGCTTTCTCCTCGTGCACAGGATAAGCCCTCAACTCAGGGACCAATCTCTGCTAAGTCAATGGGAATGGTATGTATGGATCTTCGTCAAGAAGGTCAAATGGTAAAGCACCAAGTCTATCTTACCCTGGACCTGGGTAATTTTATTGATCAGTTGTGGTCAACTCCCACCTTGGACGTAGGACTTAGGACACAGAGCCTTCCCAGTGTGCCTGGGTGCCATGCTTTGCCTCCGATGTCTCCCACTTAGCACCCCAAGGAGCTAGTCCAACTTCTGCACCCAAGCCCAAGGGGGAAGTTTCTCCTGCTTCTTCATGCTGCCTCTCTCCTGTGGAGGATCTCGGCCTGTTGCCTCTCCCAGTCTCTCCATTGCTATGCTCCACCAACTAGGACCCATTTTTTGCTTATCATCCCAGACATGGAGCTTTCACCTTGGCCTTCTCCCCCCAGTGACTTATAGAGTTCTCTGCTAGACACTGTGCAGGACAGAGATGGTCCTATGGGAGTTCCTGGCTCTTAGGAGGTAAGACTCATGCATGGAGCTGATCATTAGAGGGAAGAGAGCTTCAGCATCTTGTAAATCAGTCTTTCTCAAACTTGCTTGGTCCTAAGAGTGACCTTCTAAAGATACAACTTCCAAGATTCTACCCATGAAGATTCTAATACAGAAAATCTGAGGTGAGACCGAAACATTTTCCTAAGCACCCAGGAGATCCTTCTCATGAGGCAAGTTTGCAAAACACTAGTAAATGACTATATGACAGGAGTAGTGACTATTGATTAAACGTTCGGAAGCTAATCAAGGTACTAAGAAATTTACATATACTGGCTCATTTAATTACTGTGACAAACTTTTCCAGACAGGTACTAACTTTCCATTCTGCTAACAAGAACACCCAGATCCGGATACATTGACTAATTGCTCAAAATCACACATTTAGTAAATGGCACAGTTAGGATTCAAAACTTCATCTCTGTGGTTCCTGACCTACATCAACGAAACTAACCTATTTCTAAAGGCTAAATGCTGGTGTAGACTAGCAGTCTCTGAGCTTTTTTTGATAGAGTGCCCTATCAACAACGAAATTTCAAGCATGGACATTCAGTGTATGTGCATATATTTTTAATTTATATATACATACTATTATTCTAATATACTATCTGTATTATAAAATACACATAAAATGGCTATTTAAAAGGTTGAAATCAAGATGAATTAAACAATTTTTAGTAATTTTTATTCTATTTTTTGCTTTCAAAAATTATTGATACAATAAAAATGCTTTTAGTGAGACCAATGTGATTTCAAATAGGCTTTTCTAAGTTTTTTCAACCTTGGATTAATCTGTATGATGTAGTGATTAACAGTTTGGTCCTAAATTTGGTTTGTTCTGACACTTGCTTTTAGTGCCTGTTGTTGCTAGAAAAGATGCCTCTCAAAGATGCATAAATTCAAATGAAAGAAATGAGGCATTTTTACCTTACTCAGTCATAATGCTCATTTTTCAATTCTATCTACCAATTATGCAAAGATTCTTGGTGAAATTTGGCTAGTAAATTTCCAAGCTCCCTGATAACAATCCATTTTCCCCACAATTTATTGGAATTAAAAAATAAATAAATAAAACTCATTCAACATCAAAAACATTTAGAAACTTAAAACAGTCTAGAATATTCTGTTTCAGTCTTTCCAGGAATAGAGATCTCCGTTATATACACCATTTTTAACAATGTTAACACTGGAAATGTTTCAAATCACCAGTGCTCAAACACGGCTTCAGGGGAAAGGTGTCATTTTTTTTTCTTTGTATTCAAGAGTAATATGCATACAGGAAAATGTACATATCACAAGTGTATAGATCAGTGTATTTTATTTAACTGAGCACACCCAATTGAAGACACAGAACAAGAAGCAGAACATTATCTTCAGCCACATTATCAAAAACCCCTTTGTGCCTTTTCCAGTTATTTCCATCCTCCCAAAGGTAACAATTATCCTAGCTTTTTGGCCTGTTCCTTTTTTTTTTTTTTTTTTAAACTTCATGTAAGTGGAATCATACAGGGGGCACCTTTTTGTGTGTCTGGCTCATTTTGCTCAAAATTTGATTTGTGAGATTCATCCATATCACTGAGGTTGTCATGGATCGTTTATTCTCATTGCATAGAGTATTGTCTAGTGTGAATACACAACAGTGAGATTATCCCTTTTGCTTTTGATGGGCATTTGAATAAATTCCAGCAAATATTAGCAACAGTGTTGCTACGTGCATTTCAATGCCTGTCTTTTGGACAACATGTCTGCATTTCTGTCAGGTATATCCCTAGAGTGGAATTGCTGGGTCACTGGGTTTGCTTATGTTCTGCTTTTTAGATATTGTCAAACAGCTGCCTGACTGGTTCCATAAATTGACACTCCCACCATGTGGGAATTCTGGGTGCTCTTCATTCTCGCCTCCTCTTGGTATTGTCTGTCTTTTTTCATTTTAGCCATTTTGGTGCATGTATGATGGTATCTCATCGTAGTTTACCAGTTTCTTTGAAAGGCACTTACTGTCTCGTTATTAAGTTGTGACATTTACTCTTAGGGGACAACTTGAGTGCAGGTTTGTGTTTTTTTCCCCAATGTATCTGCTATAGCTTATTCCTGACAGCCACTTGTCAACCTGGAAAAGATCGAATAATTTCAACCCTTGATTTTATTCACTCATTATTTCAAATAGTTGGCCAGAAGACAATAAGGGAATCCCTGCTTAAATAAAGTATTTTCAGGAGTACTCCCTATCTCATTACCAAGTATTATAAAGATTCTGCTATGTTGTAAACTTCTTGCCTCTGTATAATGATCCACATCGGTGAGATCCTACTGTGTTCTGTGCTTTTGTGGCTTTAACTTCCTGGCTTAAATAGCTTGCTATGGTCAATGTAGGAGATAAATTTCACATAAGGTGCAAGTTCATGAAATGTGTCTATTTTTTTTTTCACTCCAGTCAACATAAATACCCAAAACATTGCTGTTGTTAAGAAACTCATCTACTGTTGAGAATGTAATCTTTTCTGGTACATCTTTCCTTTGAGAGCTCCCAAGAAAGGGCCCTTCAATGTATTTCATTATTGAAATGAACGATCTAGAAACAGCATAAGCTGAAATGTGTAGGAAATATCTGTACTTTCCATCAATTGCAAAGCCAATCTCTCACACTGAATTATTTGTTTAATGTTCCTTCAACTTTTCAGCCACAGATGCTGTGCATCTTCCAACAATATTTAATGACCGAGGAGTCCCTTTGAATGTGCCACTGGGTCATGTTCAGATATTTCTTTAGCCATTATCACAGTAGCAAGAGGAGCAAGCTTCTGACCAATGGATTATAGCTTCTCACTTTCACTCTTAAGAAACAAATTCAAAATTATCAAATTTCACCAAAATGTGTAAAGGGCTGGATTGAGTATATCATGACTTGAACCAGTTGGAAAAAAATTCTTAAGGTCTTGCTAATTGCAATGGCTTCAAACCCTCTTCAGGTGTGTCAAGACCCAAGGAGAGACTCATCATTAACCGCAGTGGATGAAAAGACCATATTTCAAAGAGTTTTCTTAATAATTTTTTAAGTCTTTTGACCAATTCTGTGACTGATGTGATTCGCCTGCCATTATTTTTATCCAGGCATTCGCTGAAAGAGCAGCGAGCACTAGGACTTGCCACGAAGTAGCCTCCTAGCCATTTTCCTGCCGTTCCCTTGGGTTTGCCTCATTAATATGATCTTCAGCTTGCAGTTCCTTCAGGGAATCTTTTAAAATCACTTGTCCATTCGGTGAGGATTAGTTAAATTGAAATGAGGTATCATGAGCTGTAAATCCATTTAACGGGCACACAGACACAAATCAGCTAACTGCTTATAGGAGTCATACCAGTTTCCATTTCGGGAAGATTCTCCTCGCACTGAAGGGTTCCTTGGAATAAAGAGTGCTTCTCTGCACTTCACCATGGCAGTTTCCAATGTCAGAGCTCTAAGATCTTCCGGAAAGCATCTTGCCAACCTCTTCGTCTGCCAGGTGAGGAGCTGGAGGCCCCCAGAGGAAGAGGGGAGGCCAGGTAGACTGACGGGTTTGTAAGCAGGACCTGGTCATAGGGCACATAGGTTCAAATCTCAGCCTCTGCCACTTCCTCTCTGTGTACCCTGGAGCAAATCATCTTACCTCTCTAAGCCTGCTTCATCAACTGTATACCTAAACATGGTGAAGGTTACTGTATGTAAATTATATCTCCATAAACCTGGTTTTAAAAGGAAGAGAGGGAGGGAGGGAAGAAGGCAGGCAGGCAAGCCTCAATGCTGAGACCTGAAATTAAACAGAGATTCTCAAATGAGCCTAGAGGCTTCCAGGGAGTAACATTTTTGTCTTAATTATCTCTGTGGTCTGGCATGCTTAGCATGGTGCCAGGCACATAGAAGACACGTAAAATTATCACTGATTGTAGTGGATTGAATGGTGGCCACAAAAGATACGTCCATATCCAAATCCCTAGAACCTATGACTATGATCTTATTGGGAAAAGGGTCTTTGCACATGTAAGTTAAGGATCTTGAGTTGAGAAGATCCTGGATTATCCAAGTGGACCCTAAATCCAATGACCAGTGTTCTTGTAAGAAACAAAAGAGAAGATTCAGAACACAGAGGTCATGTGAAGATCATGTGAAGCAGAAGGTCAGAAGCAGAGACTGGAGTGAAACAACCACAAGCCAATAACTACCAGAGTCACCAAAAGTTCAGGAAGAGGCAAGGAGAGATTCTCCCCTACGGTCTTTGGAGTGAGTGTGACTTGGCCGACACTTTGATTTTGAACTTCTGGTCTCCAAAACTGTAAGGGAATGCATTTCTGTTGTTTTAAGCCACCAAATGTGTGCTAATATTTTACCTCAGAAACTAATATACTGAACTTCTTGGCTTCACATAGTCATGCAGCTTGTTATTACCTAATCCAGTGATTTCCAAACTTAAGTTCTGCATAGCCTTCCATGGCCCCCATGATACATTAATAAGTATGGTACCTATTTTGTATTTGGAGGTACTTTTAAGATTTCTTATAACTAAAATATTCTGCAGCTTAAAAAAAAACAAATTAAAAAATTTGATCAGCCAACCCCAAATCTTGCCCAACTCTACATGTCAACGCTGAAGATCAGAGAAGTTCCATAACTTGTCCAAGTTCTCTCGGAAGCAAGAGGCAGAGCCATAATCAGCTCTACCATCTTCCTCCTGATGCAGGGTTCTGCCTGGACACCCAAAGAGCCACAATAAACCACTGTCCTTGGGAAAGAAAGAAGAAAACATTAGCAGCACTCCCATTATAGTCAAAGACAATACAATATGCCCTTGAGTATCAGCACTGTCATTCAGCATTCAACTAGAGGGTCCAAACACTGTGACAGGTAGCGATAAAGGAAGAAAATGGAAGAGAAAGAATTCAGGTAATGCACGGGGCCGTGGGGCGGGGGGCTCCCGACTGGCTACAGGAGATTTAAGGAAAACACCTTGCTACACACACCCATCAAGGGAGAACATTCTCCCTCCAGGGTTGGAGCAGTTAGCACAATCTGTGTCACCTTGGAGTCAGACAAAAGCGAATTCCACCTGCCACCCTATCACTTATATCTGTGCGACCTTGAGCAAAATTAACTTCTCTGAGTCTCAGCATCCTGCGTAAATGGGAATAATCGCTACCTTGCCGGGCGGTTATAGGACTTACGAGACCAGTGTTCTAACCCCTGAGCTACGGAGCCAGTTGTAGGACTTAAATGAGATGACATAGCCTAGCGAGTCTGACCCAGACTCTGTACCTAGGCTAGCTCTCGCCTCTATGATATTAACTGTAGACTTTGGGCAATTACCTCTCTGTGCCTGAGTATCCTTACTTGTAAAATGAGGATCATGCTACTTGCCTCCAAGGGTCAGTATGAAGGTTAGAATAAGCTAATAGTTATAAAGTATTTAAATAGTGCCTGGCAGGTTCGTGCTATATGAGCATTTGTTAAATTAAAAATCAATATGAAAATGTACCCAAGGAAAGGGTGACAGGGAGGTGGAGGGCTACAGAGGAAGTGGGAGGTCCAGGGTCTGTCCTGGCCCAGAGACAACATAGATAGATTCTCTGGCTCCATTCCAAACTGGTATGTTCATGGAGGGACCAAGCGCAGCACCCGTGCTGGACACAGGGGGCCAACCATGTATAGGGGTGGCTGTTATTATCAAGCCTGGGGCGGGCAAAGTGAGGGTGTGCTCATGGCCCGAGGAAGCGTCCTCCTCCTGTTTCCCACCTTGGCTGCTCCAGAGGAAGGGGCCTCTTTGAGAGCTGGGTAGAGAGCTTTCTGTCCTGGGCTGTTGAAGGACCCAGTCCAGCGCAATGGAGAAGGACCCACCCTCTGGGAAGACCTCTCGGGCTGGTCAGAGAGTGGGAGCAGAGTTCCCAAAATTCCGCAAGGCTGCCTAGCTCCCACCCAGAGTCTGGCACCATCTGCCCAGGGGCCCTTCCAAGAGGCCAAACGCCCCTCAAGCTGCCATGCCTCCTCTTCCGGGTGCTCAGATGGGAGTTCAAAGGGGAAAGATTTCACTTCCAAAGGAGGGGCTGTGAGGGTTTGATGAGAGGCTCCTCTCTCCAGGCTCTCTGTTTCCCTTTCAAGGGGTGAGTCGCACTGCTGGAAAATGACAAACTCGGCTAACTAAGATAATAGGAAGGAGACTCGTGACTCAGCTGACATGGAAACCCACCCAGCAGGGCTCAGAGGCCCCACACGGGCAGGAGGCTGCTTTCGGAAAAGGAGGACAGTTGTAAATAAGGGATCCACTCAAGATACTTCTTTTCTCATCCTGGTTGCAGACAGCGTTCCCTACCCCCGCCCCCCGCAGTGTTTTTTTCCACCAGGAGCCCTGAATCTGGCAGGCATTGGCATTACTCACAGGGGAGGGAATCAAGGGCCAGGGGAGGAATGCGTGTGTGCAAACCTTCCTTTGACAGTCGTGGAAAACAGTAGTGCCCTCCCCATTACAGGGGCCGGCTCTGCCCAGAGGACTGATCTACGCCTCACTTTCTCTCCCAAAGCCTCCACCAAAATGAATTTGGACACTGAGGTATTTGTGTGTACAATAACAGGATGCCTGGGATTTATTTTAAAACTTCCGCTCCCCACTCTAAAATTGTTGGCAGGTGATAGGTGAAAGGAGATTGGCCAAACTAGCCTTTAACCTCCTAGAACAAGCAGAGCTTGCTGGGAAAGTTTGAACACCTCCCTTCCCTACCATATCCTCTGATAAAGGAGGGCATTGGTTCCAGGGCTCTCCCAGGCTTTCCCAGCTCTGCTTCCCGATGAGCTGATGATCTCTATGCATTCCAACCTCTCACCACCCGCTGAGCACCTCAGGCCTGTGTTTTTGTAGCAAGCTTTCGCGGAATGTAGAGGGCAGTGGTTCGAGCAAGGATTCTGGAACCCCCATGCCTGGTTTTGAATCCTGGGTGGACCACACACTAATTATGGGACTTTGGACAACTCATTTAACGTCTCTAGGCATCAATCTGCTGATCTGAAAAATGGGGATAATAATATCCACCTCATGGAGTTATTATAAGAAATCAAGGAGTTTATATTCATAAAACACTTAAAAACAGTGTGTGCCATATGGTGTTACAGAAATCACGTTAAATAAAGAAAAGGAAAGATTTCAGAAGCCGCCTGCTTTTCTATGTCAGACTGGCCAACTTTGTCTCCACAGTGCCAGATAGTAAATGTTTTTGGCTTCACTGTCATATGGCTTTGTCACATGCAGACTGAGGGAACTTGAAGCTGATACCTTCCTCCCTATCTCTCTGCCCTTATAGCAGCTGTCACCAAGGCTCCATGTCCCAGATGGTGGTACCGCAAAATGAAAGAGAACTCGCAATTTGCAGGGCACGTTAGCAGAGCGAGAGGTAAACTATTAAGCCACGGCAACCTGCGTGGCTTCTTTAGGGACCCAGCACGGCCTGGCCTAGCCTGACACACGGTAAGCAGCCCTGGGGGGCCGTGAGAAGGCACCAGCTGCTCTCTCCCAAGTCCACTCCGAGTTATGCAAACTGCCCTAGTTCTGTTTCCTTCCGCTGTCATACACCATTTCAAATCCCTCTACGGAGCCGGCTGCCCTCTTCGACCACCTTCCAGTCTATGCACCGCCTTCTCTAAGCCCACACACAGGACTGACCGTGACTGCCAGATGGAACGGACTTTCAGCAGGACAGGACCACCTGCGGAAGTACGCCCTCGGTCACATCAGGTGTGCGTGGGGAGAGGGAGGTCAGCTCGTACTGCTGATACAGATGGCGTTTCCCGTGACTCGAAATCCTTGAGTGTATGTCACCATGCTTGTGCTGAACCCACCTTCTTGTACAATTTCTGTATAATTGGCTTTTCATGGGGACCAAGAAGCCCTGTCACATTTCCTCCTTAGGCTGCCATGCCCCTGGACGCGGTCACCCAGCCGAGGAGAACAGGACAACCGGGGGTGGGGAGCAGTCGGAAAGCATGGCAAATAACCACAGTTCTGTGTCTCTTGCAGATCACAGTCCCACGTTCTTGGAGGGATTCTGAGAAATTTCAGTTCAGGGGGAGCTGTGGTTATGGGAACTGTTCTTTCCAAGCCAAAAATCAGGATACAGATTTTTTAAAAAATATATTATGCTGCTTCTGTGCAGGGCACCTGGGGGGTTCTTTGAGGAATTAGGGGAATACTGGCAGTCCTTTGAATCAGAAGGAAAGCACTCTTGGCCCCTGGGGTTCCCAAGGCAATCTGGAGAGGGCAGTTATAACAGATCCTGTTGTCCAGGGCCTCAGAGAAGGGAGGGCTAACTGCCACCATAAGGGCTGTAGGGGGAGTGAAGGACCCAACCTGTTGGGTGCTATCCAGGTAGGGAGCAAAGAAATTGGACCTGGGGGCCAAGCAAGCCTGCATTCAAATCTTGGTTCGACCTTTAGCTACCATGTGAACCTCAGGCGTGTCCCTAAACTTCATCTGAATTCCATTGGAATGGTGGCGCCTTCTTTGAAGACTTGGTGTGAGGATTACATGGTGAAGCTCTACAAACTCCAGGCTCTT